TTTTACTGCAGTCATTGCAGAACTCGACGGGATTCGCTAAAAAAGATAGAAATCTGGAAGTTGCCACCCGTACTTTTAGTGCATCTGAAACGGTAAAAGGGACACATTTTTCTTAGTGTTTAGTACTTTTTAGATGAAGGACTTCTAAGTCTTTTATTCTAAACACTTTGTTTTACTACCTGCTTAGGATGTATAAGAAAGGAAGATCATCTGGTTAGGGTATCTCTAGGGAAACTAGGCAGAAATGATGAGATTCTAGTTCACCTTAGTGTTTGTAATAACAGGGCAAAGTGACAGCATCACTCTTTCATATAATTCTGTTTTTAAAAATCTGTGAAACTAGTGGGGAGGGATAGATTGGGAGTTTGAAATTGACATGTACACACTGCTATATTTAAAATGGATAACCAAGAGAATTCCCTGGTTTCCCAGTGGTTAGGACTCTGCACTTTCACTGCTGAGGGTGTGGGTTCAGTCCCTGGTCGGGAAATTAAGATCCTACAAGCCACGCAGTACAGCCAAAAAAATTAAAAATAAAAAATAAATAGATAATGAGTAAGGACCGACTGTAGAGCACAGGGAACTCTGCTCAATATTCTATAATAACCTAAATGGGAAAAGAATTTGAAAAAGGATAGATACATGTATATGTGTAACTGAATCACTTTGCTGTACACCCAAAACTAACACACATTGTTAATCAATGATAATCCAATATAAAATTTTAAAAATAAAATCAGTGAAACTAAATTATTGCATTTCAAATATGAAAATTTTAAATCATTACAAAGCATTCAGTGAAAATGTATAAAAATAATGTTATACAATATAACTAACACACTATTAGATAAAATTTATCATTCAAACAATATAGTAAACATAAAAAATACTGTGCTGAAAATGAAATATATGAGTTTTTTTAAAGTATAATTTTTAAAGATAAAACATTAAGGATGCCATTGTAGAGTGCAGACATATTTTTGCCCATATTTTTCCAGCCAATGAAAAAGATCTGGACCTATAGCAGTAGAAGAATAATGGCGAGAGAGTTGTAAAACATGTGCCAGGTCTTTTGCTCTGATTCTTTGTCTTTATGGTATCCATCTGTGGAGTGACAACTTTAAGTCATTTTTTGGAAAAACTTTAAAAGGAAGTTTCATCTGTTTATTGAGAGCTCTAATTTTTGTTTCAAAGAAAGCATTTCTTTTTAATTTTTTGTTTCATCTTATATTATTGGAGATTCTTAGGCAGTTATTTATGTTAATTTCCACATTGATATATTCAAATTCCTCTTGTGTAAATTTTCTAACAAAAGCTTATATCAGTTGTCCTTTTCTGCTTCTTGCAGATTGTGGAGGTATAAACAACATTCTATAAATGATTACACATTTGTTCTGTTAAGATTTTTAATGCTGTGTATTACTCTTGGAGAATATCTAAAAGTATAAATGGTTCAGAGTTCATTTTTTAAAAAATAATTCTGAAATAACCAGTATTTTGGTGTTTAAAGAAGCAGAATATGTCAGGATAATGGAATGCCATTATTTCAGTCACTAATTTATGTGCTTGCAATTACCAGCTCTAGTGTCCCCAAAAGTACAAGCTTAAATCTAGAGCAGCTCTCCTCTGTCATTCCTCTGTACTTTTGTGGTGATTAGCATTATAAATGGGGGTTTTCATAACTTTTTACCTTTGTAGAAGACTAATCTAATAGCTTTAGCTGGGTCTACGGATTAAGGGACCAAGGTATGGCCCTACCTCTACCACTCTAGCTGTTTGACCTGCGGTTAGACATTTAACTCATTATTGATGGGGGATTTTTGCAGAAACTAACGCCTGCGGCTGGCGATTTGTTATGTAAATGAATATTGAAATGCCTACAGTCAATACGTTCGGGTAACAAAAGACGTATTAATACGTCTCTGGTCAATAATGTGTTAATATCTGTGTACGGCAGTTTCTTCATTTGTAAAACAAATGAAACCAAGTACAGCAAGTCCCCTATATACGAACGAGTTCTGTTCTGAGAGTGCATCTGTAAGTCCAATTCATTTGTAAGTCCAACAAAGGTAGCCTAGGTACCCAACTAACTCCACTATATAGTAATAGGCGTTACTGTAATAGGTTTATAATACTTTTCACACAAATAATACATAAAAAACAAACACAAAAAATAAAACAGGGCTTCCCTGGGGGTGCAGTGGTTGAGAGTCTGCCTGCCGATGCAGGGGACACGGGTTCGTGCCCCGGTCCGGGAAGATCCCACATGCCGCGGAGCCTGCACGTCCGGAGCCTGTGCTCTGCAACGGGAGAGGCCACAACAGTGAGAGGCCCGCGTACCACAAAAAAATAAAATAAAATATTTTTAATCTTACAGTATAGTACCTTGAAAAGTATAGTAGTACAGTACAACAGCTGGCATACACGGGCACATTCACGTCTTTGGAAGTTCACAATTTGAAGATTCGTATGTAGGGGACTTACGTTATCTTTTTCTTCTTCTTTTTTTCTCTTCTTTTTTTCTTTTTTGGCTGCACCATGCGGCATGTGGGATCTTAGTTCCCCAACCACGGATCGATCCCACGCCCCGTACATTGGAAGCGCTGAGTCTTAACCTCTGGACCACCAGGGAAGTCCCAAACCAGGTGTCTTTAACAGGTCCCTCCACTATTAAAATTCTGATTGTGTGTTTGAAATGGATTTTATGGTCCTGTCTAAAAATCTGGATTGTTAATGAATGAATTAGGGTTCATTCTGATGTCTTTGGTCTGTCAGTGTAATTGCTGTAATGTTATGCTCTACAGTTTTTCCTATGATGGCAGATGGAAGCAAAAATTACAGACATCTGTGGACTTCCCATTAGAAAATCTTGACTTGTCACAGTATGTTATTGGTCCAAAGAACAATTTGAGGAAATATAACTTGTTTTCTGTTTCGGTAAGTATCTCATTAAACTAAATACAGTTTCTTTAGAAGCAAACTAAAAAACCCAGTTTCAAGTGGTTCCTTACCTCATAGGAAAGTAAGAGCAACATAAGTCTTTGAAATTATTGACATATTTTAAATAATTCAATTTGATTTGATTTTCTGTCTTGTTTGGCACAGAATCACTATGGTGGGCTGGATGGAGGCCACTACACTGCCTATTGTAAAAATGCAGCAAGACAGCGGTGGTTTAAATTTGATGATCATGAAGTTTCTGATATTTCCGTTTCTTCTGTGAAATCTTCAGCAGCTTATATCCTCTTTTATACGTCATTGGGACCACGAGTAACTGATGTAGCCACATAAGGAGAAGTAGGTTATAAGCTAGTTATCTTTTAACAGGCTGAGCAACACAATTCTTGAAATGCTTAAAGATTCTGGATAGCTATAGCTGGCCATTTAAAGGAATTCTAGGACAGTGAGAGTTGTGTTACTATACCATATACTTCAGGTCAGTGCTATTATCAAACAACTGACCAAGCACATTTAACGAGTATTGCAGTAAGCATTCCTTACAGGTACCATTTATTTCAAAACAACTTTTTTAGTTTGCTCCAAAGTTAAAATAATTAGCTAAGCATAATTATTCTACTGGTCTAAAAACCATTGTATCCTTTATTTTCCTTTTTACTGTTATGGCCTTTTCACATTTCTAAATCCCAGCTTGATCTATGAATACTCTAGAATGATGTAAAACAGATAGGAATGTATGTGTATATATTTATTGCACACTTGCACATCAAATCGATGTACATAGTATAAGATGTGGTCCTTTTGTGAAGCCTAGAACTCAGAGGATTGCTTTTTTTTTTTTCTTTCCTTTTGGCCTATTCTGAGTAATTGCAGTGCTTTCTTAGGCAAATGACAGGGCAAAGCTATTTTTCTGTTGGCTTTGGGCTGTATTTGTGCACTAAATCTTTATTCTAAAAAAATAAATGGAAAGTTTTCTTTAATTTTTTAAATGAGAATTTTCATTTACACCTACATTAAAATCTTAATGAGAAAAATAATTTAAAACCCTGTAAGTGTTCTGTCTTTAATTTTATATTATTAAACATAGAACAGTAGAATTACAGATTTTATACATACACTCTTTATACCACTACAATGACTTAAAATTTAGTACACTTATTCCTTTGCATCACTTGATTCCACTCATCCTTTACCTTGACCCTGAACTGCACATAGCACTTATGATGCGCTCAGAGTTGGGAGTCAGAGTAAAATACAAATAACTTAATGCCCAGACTCATTCTATCAAGAGTAGTAGAATTCTTAGGATTAAGATAAAAAGAGATGAGTCAGACATGACTGCAAAGTGAACTGCATTATAAACCACATCTTTACAAAGTGATGTATTAAAAGGGATAGAGGAGCTTAGAATTTATCATTTACCTCAGGGACTTGGTTGTTATAGGTAAAGTCAATATATAAATATAAAAACAAGATTCTAAAGGTGCTTCTGAAAGATGTCACCATTAGTGGACACTCAGGAAGAAGATGAAAGGAAGGTGTTGAATTGTGAAACTGACAACTTTTCATGTTCTACAATTAGTCTGAGAGATTATAGTTTCTTGCCTAAATTATCTGAACAATTAAATATTTTCAAATCACATTCCTAACCTCACAGAGCCACTTGAACAAAAGTTATTTTGGTTTAGCTCCATGAAGTATCTTTGGAAAATAATTTGTTGGATATATATAATTATTATGAGATAGTTTATGATAAAAATACACACTAATAAACACTGTACTTTGAAACCTGAACATAATACTTATAATCTGATTGCTGTGAAGGTCCCCATTCATTAGCATTGCATCATTTTCATGCTGCCTTTTTCAGTGGGCCAGGACCCATCTTTTTATAGACTTACCTTGTGAAGGTTGCGTAACATTCCAGAAAGACTTAAAAATGTCAGTGAGGCAAGTAAGTTGCAAGAGTTTTAATGACAAAGCAAAACTTAAGTACCAGGTTCTAATTGCTAGTTTTGCAATTTTCAGGAAACACCATTTTCCTAACTCTTGCGTTTTTGTATAGGTATAGAAAAGGGCTGGCAGCTATAGAATAGGAGATATGCTGTAGCAGTTTGAACTGAAGTATCTGGAATCTCACTGACTCGTGTGTCATCAAAGTTATACCAGGCGTGAGTCACTGAGTTTTTGCAGAAAGCAGTGTAGTGGCCACCATCCAGATCACCAGAGTGGTTCTAGGGGAGAAGGGAATGTCACACAGTATTTATATCTGAATACTTTAAATATTAGAACCCAAATGATAGGGCCAAGAAATATTTTTATAATTGTCCCTTATACTGGATTAAAAGCTAAATCATACATTATGTTAAATTATACATATAGCCTGACGACTGGTATATTTTTCATGTCACTGAAATGGTTATATATTGTGTCCATCGATTATTTAATAGACTGTGAATGAAATAGGATAGTATTTGGCATCTTCTAATATTTATCAGTTAGTTAATACTTACTGAGCACCAACTGTACATAGAGTATTAAACATCAAAGGAAATTTTAAAATAAGAAAATAGTCATGTTTCCTAAATGAGCTTATAGTTTAATTTTGAAGACAGTCTAAGATAGACATGAAAAAAGATATTTAACATTGGAACAAGACATTAAAACAACTGCATACTGCTACCACACAATTTGAGGAGGTTGTACAGCAACAGCTCCCTTGGTCATCCAAGGCCCAAAAAAGAACCTGTTCTATTCTCTTTTTCCCATGTCTTCCCTAACCCAGTAAAGCAATGTTTGAAACAAAGGCATTGGAGAACCTCACTTCTCAGAAGGTGGTATGGCATAGAGCAGGGGTTGACAAACCATTTGCACATGGGTCAAAGCCAGCCTGCTGCCTGTTTTTATATGGCCTGTGAACTGAGAATGCATTTTATATTTTTATATGGTTGAAAAAAATCAGAAGAATAATATTTTGTGATGTGTGAAAATTATATGAACTTCAGATTTTTCAATGTCCTTAAATAAAGTTTTATGGGATCACAGCCATGCTCACTTGTTTATGTTTTTAAGTGGCTGCTTTCACACTACAACTGTAAAGTTGAATAGTTACAAGAGAGACTATAGAATACATGGCCTGCAAATCCTAAAATATTTACTATCTAGCTTTTTAAGTTTGTTGACCCCTGGGGTAGAGGGAAGAAAATGGATTTTTCTAGTCAGTTCTATGAATTCAGCTCTAATACTGCACAATGACCTTAAGGAAATTATTTAACCTTTCTGAGCTTTAATTCCCCTATCTTTTAAAATGGGTAATAAGACCTTGTCTTATACAACTACTGTCTCTCTTATAGTGCTAGCACATAGGAGGTACTTATTAAGTGTTCCCTTAGACCTTCATCTTCCCCACATCTCCTGTTAACTCTTAGAGAAATATCCCAAAGCTGACATTTTAAAGATTCAGACTCTGGTCCTGGTCTTGGCCATGTGACCTTAAGCTGATATGCTTAAAATTCCTTATTTATAAAATGGTGCCCATAATAGTGTGATGTAATTTGAGAAAAACAAAACATCTGGTGGATCCAGATGATGAAGTAATGTTCTAAAGTGACTACACAGATTATGGCTGGAATATGTTCTGTTCTGATGACAATGTAAACAAACAAAATTGACATAGTAGAATAGGGCAGGGTGAAGCATCATTCTAGACTTCCATTCTCAGTAATTTTGGCAATTAGCTAGCCTGAAAGCCTTAGTTATGAAACTGTAAAGAATGCTCGATAGGGACTTCCCTGGTGGCAGAGTGGTTAAGAAACTGCCTGCCAATGCAGGGGACACAGGTTCGAGCCCTGGTCCAGGAAGATCCCACATGCCGCAGAGCAACTAAGCCCATACACCACAACTACTGAGCCTGCACTCTACATCCCACAAGCCACAGCTACTGAGTCCACGCACCTAGAGCCCATACTCAGCAACAAGAGAAGCCACCGCAATGAGAAGCCCATGCACCACAACGAAGGGTAGCCCCTGCACACCATAACTAGAGAAAGCCCATGCGCAGCAACGAAGACTCAACCAGCCAAAAAAAAAAAGAATGCTGGATAAAACATGGTAAATACCCTTTGAAATATATGGCTAACTTTAAAGATTGTATAGTGAGAGTAATCTCCAGGGTCCAAGAACAGAGTAAATAAAAGATGAGCATGATGTGTGGTTAATGCTGTGACTGCCTGAGAGCAAAGACAGTTTCTGGTCCCTGGAACCACAGTGCTTGGGTTTTAAAGGTCACACAAGGGCTGGAGGTAAAGTCCTAAGTCCCTGCAAGGTGAGGAGTTGGATTGAAATCCACACACATAGCCACAACCTCTTAAAGAGAGGCACCCTCAATAAAAGAATAAACTAGGGGGGGGAACAAATCCACCCTCCAGTGCTTAGCTTAGCTTAGGCTTTGGGTACAAAGAATAAAAGTCATTCCTGGAAAGTCGTTACCACAGACCTGGCTTCTCTTTGGTTGGGGATTCAAATTTACACTACTGTGTCTCAGAATCCTGTGAATTTAAGGTAAGAATGAAAAGTGTTTTGGGGTTGCTTGGCAAAAAGAATTACTTTCTGATTGATGCACCTTAATTCAGGCTACACAGGATACCCACATATAAAAACCCAGTGATGATGAACTCACAATTCAGTATTACAGAGCATACAAGGAAACAATTCACCATGAGTAAGAGTTAGAGGGCAATAAATAGCAAGATTAAAAACTCCAAGGGGACGTGGGAAAGATGGCGGAAGAGTAAGACGCGGAGATCACCTTCCTCCCCACAGATACACCAGAAATACATCTACACGTGGAACAACTCCTACAGAACACTACTGAACGCTGGCAGAAGACCTCAGACCTCCCAAAAGGCAAGAAACTCCCCACGTACCTGGGTAGGGCAAAAGAAAAAAGAATAAACAGACGCAAAAGGATAGGGACGGGACCTGCACCAGTGGGAGGGAGCTGTGAAGGAGGAAAGGTTTCCACACACTAGGAAGCCCCTTCGCAGGCGGAAACTGTGGGGGCGGAGGGGGAAAGCTTCGGAGCTGCGGAGGAGAGCACAGCAACAGGGGTGCAGAGGGCAAAGTGGAGAGATACCCGCATGGGGGATCGGTGCCGACCAGCACTCACCAGCCCGAGAGGCTTATCTGCTCACCCACTGGGGCGGGCGGGGGCTGGGAGCTGAGGCTCAGGCTTCAGTTGGAGCGCAGGGAGAGTCCTGGGGAGCGCAGGGAGAGAGGCCTGGGATTGGCGGCGTGAACACAGCCTGCAGGGTGTTAGTGCACCACAGCTAGCCGGGAGGGAGTCCAGGGAAAAGTCTGGACCTGCCGAAGATGCAAAAGACTTTTCCTTCCCTCTCTGTTTCCTGGTGCGCAAGGAGAGGGGATTAAGAGCGCTGCTTAAAGGAGCTCCAGAGACGGGCGCGAGCCGCGGCTAAAAGCGCGGACCCCAGAGACAGGCAGGAGACGCTAAGGCTGCTGCTGCCGCCACCAGAAGCCTGTGTGCGAGCACAGGTAACTATCCACAACCCCCTTACAGGGAGCCTGTGCAGCTCACCGCTGACAGGGTCCCGTGATCCAGGAACAACTTCTCCGGGAGAACGCACTGTACGCCTCAGGCTGGTGCAACGTCATGCTGGCCTCTGCCTCCGCAGGCTCGCCCCGCACTCCGTGCCCCTCCCTCCCCCGCGGCCTGAGTGAGCCGGAGACCCTGAATCAGCGGCTCCTTTAACCCCGTCCTGTCTGAGCGAAGAACAGACGACCTCCGGCAACCTACACGCAGATGTGGGGCCAAATCCAAAGCAGAGCCCAGGGAGCTGTGAGAACAAAGAAGAGAAAGGGAAATCTCTCCCAGCAGCCTCAGAAGCAGTGGATTAAAGCTCCACAATCAACTTGATGTACGCTGCATCTGTGGAATACATGAATAGACAATGAATCATCCCAAATTGAGGAGGTGGACTTTGAGAGCAAGATTTATGATTTTTTTCCCCTTTTCCTCTTTTTGTGAGTGTGTATGTGTATGCTTCTGTGTGAGATTTTGTCTGTATAGCTTTGCTTCCACCATTTGTCCTACGGTTCTATCTGTCCGTTTTATTTTCTTCTTCTTTTAAAAAAATTTTTTTTCTTAATACTTATTTTTTATTTTAATAACTTTATTTTATCTTATTTTATTTTATCTTCTTTATTCTTTCCTTCCTTTCCTCCTTCCTTCCTCCCTCCCTCTCTCTCTCTCTCTCTCTTCCTTCCTTCCTTCCTTCCTTCCTTTCTTGCTTGCTTGCTTGCTTTTTCTCCCTTTTATTCTGAGCCGTGTGGATGAAAAGCTCTTGCTGCTGCAGCCAGGAGTCAGTGCTGTGCCTCTGAGGTGGGAGAGCCAATTTCAGGACACTGGTCCACAAGAGACCTCCCAGCTCCACATAATATCAAACAGCGAAAATCTCCCAGAGATCTCCATCTCAACGCCAGCACCCAGCTTCACTCAACGACCAGCAAGCCACAGTGCTGGACACCCTATGGCAAACAACTAGCAAGACAGGAACACAACCCCACCCATTAGCAGAGAGGCTGCCTAAAATCATAAGTCCACAAACACCCCAAAACACACCACCAGACATGGACCTGCCCACTAGAAAGACAAGATCCAGCCTCATCCATCACAACACAGGCACTAGTCCCCTCCACCAGGAAGCCTACACAACCCACTGAACCAACCTTAGGCACTGGGGACAGACACAAAAAACAACAGGAACTATGAACCTGCAGCCTACAAAAAGGAGACCCCAAACACAGTAAGATAAGCAAAAGGAGAAGACAGAAAAACACACAGCAGATGAAGGAGCAAGATAAAAATGCACCAGACCTAACAAATGAAGAGGAAATAGGCAGTCTACCTGAAAAAGCATTCAGAAAAATGATAGTAAAGATGATCCAAAATCTTGGAAATAGAACAGGCAAAATGCAAAAAACATTTAACAAGGACCTAGAAGAACTAAAGATGAAACAAGCAACGATGAACAACACAATAAATGAAATTTAAAATACTCTAGATGGGATCAATAGCAGAATAACTAAGGCAGAAGAATGGATAAGTGACCTGGAAGATAAAATAGTGGAAGTAACTACTACGGAGCAGAATAAAGAAAAAGGAACAAAAAGAACTGAGGACAGTCTCAGAGACCTCTGGGACAACATTAACCACACC